AGAGAGAGAGAGAGAGAGAGAGAGAGAAATTACACCCATGTCGCATTTTCCCCTGAAGATCCAGTGCAGCGCCAGGGAAAGCGAGCACCCACACCTTGCCATCCCAGCTTCCTGTGCTTGGGGTGGGCAAGCTGAAGCAGAAGCTGGCATTTCAAAAAAAAAAATTAAAAAATCCTTTAGCTGGAAGGGATGAACGGGGGTGGCAAGGATGCAGAACCTCCAGGCCGAGGGGCACTCTACCACCAAGGACCAGATGCAGAGAATTCAGAATTCAGTTGGGCCGGTTCTGCTTGACGGGCGTAGAGGCCCCCCTTCACCAAGGGCTCATGCGCACCGCGAGTGAACACATGCTCCAGGCGTCTCGACAACGAAGTAAGCCAGCCACCCACCCCAAGAGTTGGACCGGGATCTCTTTCCTCCCACAGCCCACCCTGCCCCCCGCGTGGATGGATCCCAACGTGCGGCAGACGGAGAGGCCCACACGCCCACCCCCGTACCAGAAGAGAAACCAAGTCTGCAACGCCCCCAAACGCCTAGCCTGCTCGTGCCAGCCAGCCAAGCTGCACAGCTCAGCGGGGCTTAAATAAGTCATTAAAGAAAAATCCAAACAAGGGCGGGGTGGGAAGGCAGGAAGGTGGAACATTTCCCCACCAGTGTTTTAAGAGCAGGTCTGCAACCGTCCTCTTGTTACAACACGCGGGTCTTTTGCAAGAACTCACAGAAAGGGTTTGACAGATGCGGCTTTAGAGCAAGGGCGCCCCCTGGTGGCCCAAACGGAGGCCCATCTTATCCCTGAGCATAAGCCCGGTTTAACAAAAGGGTCCTGAGCTGGGCTCACGGACCCGTCCCTGAACTTTCATACCAAACATCCTGCTGCCCTGGGATCACCTGGTGGCGCCCCATCCAAGCCTGACTCAGGCCCTTGGCTCCTTAACCCTTTTTTAGGCGAAATAAAGCATAAATAAAAAGCTACGGTAAGCCTCCCCTCTCCCGAGCGCACACATGTAGATAACTTCTGCCTCCAACATGGAGCCTCCGGAGGGGAGAAAAGGTTCATATCGTTCGTTCCCCCAATGCGGCTTGGCTCGCTTGCCCCGAGCTACCTAAAAGAGGACCCTCTGCAAGCGGCCTGGGCCTGCACCGCGGCTCGGCGCTCGTCGGCGGGAGAGCCCCCTCCGGGAACCTTCTGCCCCTGCAGACCCCCCACTCACGCGCTCTCCCCTTCGCGCAGCTTCTTGGCCGCCGCTTGCTTGGACCGACGGATCTCGGAATCCAGCTTGAAGAGGAAATCGGCCGCGGAGAGGTCGTGTTTGGGGACCGACCCCCCCGGAGTGCCGTTCTTCCGGGGCGGCTTGGGCTTTTTGGCGGAGTCGGGCGGGACGGCCTCGGCCGCCGCCTCCCTGCCCTCCTCCTCGTCCTCGTCCTCGAAGTCCAGTCCGTTGGACAAAGCCTTGGGCTCGGCCGGCACCGGGATGGAGAGAGTCTTTTTCAGGAAGATGGAGTCGTTGGTGTACAGCCGGTTGGCCCGCTTGATCTGCTCCGTCTGCAAAGGGAGGGGAGGGGAAGGGAAGGGAAGGGGCTGTTAGGCGCCGCTGCGGGCTCCGCCGGGGGAGCAGGCAAATCAGGGCGCTAGTCCTCATGGGCCGAGAAGTCGCAAACCCGCCGGCCCGCTGTGCCAGATGCGGGCTTCGCTGGCGGGTCCCTCGGCTGGCTCTGGAGAGATCCTGCACGGGAAAAGCCCCCGACTCCGGAGAGCCCCCAGCC